GTTCCATTTATTGGAGAATGGCGTAAGAAAGAAAGATCTGGATTCTAGGTGTTGTTATCTTATAAAGTATTGCTTCTGCTCCATCTGCTCTCTGCTCTCCTTTTGGGGCTCCAGTTACATGTATATTAGATCCTTTCTCTGTATTCCACATCTCTCTCTCTTTTTTTTTTTTTTATTTATCATTCTTTTCGATAGGCAGAGTTAGACAGTGAGAGAGAGAGAAAGAGAAAGGTCTTCCTTTCCGTTGGTTCACCCCCAAATGGCTGCTGCAGCCCGTGTGCTGCGCCAATCCAAAGCCAGGAGCCAGGTGCTTCTCCTGGTCTCCCATGCGGGTGCAGGGCCCAAGCACTTGGGCCATCCTCCACTGCCTTCCCGGGCCACAGCAGACTGGACTGGAAGAGGAGCAACCGGGACAGAATCCGGTGCCCCAACCGGGACTAGAACCTGGGGTGCCGGCGCCTCAGGCAGAGGATTAGCGTAGTGAACCGCAGCGCTGGCCCCACATCTCTCTTATGCTCTTCTGAATTTTTCTTGTTCTCTTCTGTTCTTCATTTTGGAGACTATTCTGTTGATCTTTCTTTCAGTTCACTTTCCTGTTGTAACTGATCTGCTATTGAATTCATCTACTGAGTTCTTAATTTCAGTTCTATTTTTCAGTTTTAGAATTTTCATTAATTTTTTAATAGATTCCAGTTCTCTACTGAAATATTTTTATCTTTTTATCTGTGTTCTCCATCTTCCTCCCCTCCTTTATTTTTACATTTTAGTCATAGTAGATATTTTATTTAATCATGTGAGTGGCAGAGTGCGATCAGGTGAGCTTCCACCTGCTGGCTCACACTGTAAATGTCCACAGCAGCACCCTGCCAAGGCTGAAACTGGAACCCAGGTGTCCCATGTGGGTGGGGGAACCCAGTTACCTGAGCCATGTTAACAGGAAGCTGACGTCAGAGCTGGAGCCAAGTACTGATCCTAGTACTCCACTGTGGGATGTGCAGTCTTAGCCAGTGTCTTAACTTCTAGGCTAAATGCCCACCTCATAGTGAGTGTTTTAGAATCATTATTTGCCTACTGTAGTATCTGGATCATGTGTGAATTTCCATTGATTTTTTCATAGTTATTTCTGTGGCTATGTCTCTTGGTATGTCTAGTCTGAATTTTGGATATGTGTGTTAAAAATAACCTCTTGATGATGTTTTCTTCCAGATAGGGTTTACTTTTTTTCCCTTTTGTGCAGGTAAGAAGAGTATGGGCTGCTTGCCTTGTCCCCATCAGGTATTCAGCTGAACTGAGGTTGGATTGTAGTTTTGATAAGGCTCCCTCTGTTTTCAGTTCACTCTTCATTCTTGATTATAGCCCTCACCTAATTGAGAATTGTTTAAGATAGGGCCAGATCTTAATCTCTCTGAAGATATAATTGCTAAGCAAATACTGTTTGATTGTCTAATTAGGTAGGTTAATTTTACCTCATATTATTACCCCTGCAGTTTGGAAATAGATGAAACTTTTTGATTTAAGAATATGTGAGGGTGAGCATTTAGCATAGTGATTAAGATATTCATATGGGGCCAGTGCTGTGGCACAGCAGGTAAAGCCACTGCCTGCAGTGCCAGCATCCCATATGGGCACCGGTTCGAGTCCCAGCTGCTCCACTTCTGATCCAGCTCTCTGCTGTGACCTGGGAAAGCAGTAGAAGATGGCCCAAGTCCATGGGCCCCTGCACCCTCATGGGAGACTTGGATGGAGTTTGGGAAGAAGCTCCTGGCTCCTGGCTTTGGATTGGCTCAGCTTAAGCTATTGTGGCCATCTGGGGAGTGAACCAGCAGGTGGAAGACCTCTCTCTCTCTCTGCCTCTGCCTCTCTGTAACTCTGCCTTTCAGATAAATACAATAAATCTTTTTAAAAAAGGAGATACTCATATCCCAAGTCAGAGTGCCCGGGCTCCATACCCAGCTCTTTCTCCTGAGGCCAGCTTCTTTATTATGCAGACCCTGGGAAGCAGCAGTAATGGTCAGGTGATTTGACTCTTGCTCCTCATGGGAAACTTGGGTTAAGTTCCTGGCTCCTGCCTTCAGCCTGACCAAGCCCAGCAGTCAAATATTTGGGGAATGAACCAGCCAATGGGAGGTCTTTATTTGTCAAATTTCTTTTTTTCTTTGAAATTTTCAAAAGTGAACTATTATATGGATCTTTTTCTGCAGTCTTGGGTTTAGAATTGCTTGGGTTCAAGGCCAGTCTTTGTCATCTACTAGCTGTATGACCTTGAGCAGTTCATGTAATTCTCTGATCTCAGTTTCCACATCTATAAAATGAGAATAACAGTATCTGCCTCATAAGATAAGGAGAGTTAGCCGGCTCTGCGGCTTAATAGGCTAATCCTCCGCCTTGCGGTGCCGGCACACCAGGTTCTAGTCCCGGTTGGGGCGCCGGATTCTGTCCTGGTTGCCCCTCTTCCAGGCCAGCTCTCTGCTGTGGCCCGGGAAGGCAGTGGAGGATGGCCCAAGTGCTTGGGCCCTGCACCCCATGGGAGACCAGGAGAAGCACCTGGCTCCCTGGCTTTCGGATTCAGTTGGATGCGCCGGCCGCAGCGGCCATTGGAGGGTGAACCAACAGTAAAAAGGAAGACCTTTCTGTCTGTCTCTCTCTCTCACTATCCACTCTGCCTGTCAAAAAAAAAAAAAAAAAAAAAAAAAAAAAAAGATAAGGAGAGTTAATAAATATAAAGCACTTAGACTAGTTGGTGACACAGGGTAATCACTCAATAAATGTTAATGATAAATCATTAACATTTAATTGAAATATAAATAAATTTAATAAAAAATTAAATAGTAAAAATGTAAAACATTCAAAAATTTCAAAATTTAGTTTTATTTGAAAGGCAGATAAACACAGGGAGAGAAGTCTTCCATCTGCTGATACCCCCCAAATTCCCGTAATAGCTAGGGCTGGGCCAGGTGGAAGGCTGAGCCTGGTACTCAGTCTGAGTCTCCCATGTCAGTGGCAGACACACAAGTACTTGAGCCATCATCTGCTGCCTCCTAGGATGCTCATTAGCAGGAACTGGGTGGGAAGCTGAGAGCTGATACTCAGATCAGGCACTCTGATAAAGTATGTGGGCGTCCCATGCAGCAACTTAAGCTGGGCCACATAGCCAAGCCTGTAGAACGTTTTAAATTATTTTTCACTTGACATTATATTGTGGACATTCTTTCATGTTATTGAAGTTTTTTTCCCCCCAAACAACTTTTTGTTGTTGTTATTATTTTATTTTATTTTTTTGACAGAGTGGACAGTGAGAGAGAGAGAGAGAGAGAGAAAGGTCTTCCTTTTGCCGTTGGTTCACCCTCCAATGGCCGCCGCGGCTGGAGCGCTGCGGCCAGCGCACAGTGCTGATCCGATGGCAGGAGCCAGGTACTTATCCTGGTCTCCCATGGGGTGCAGGGCCCAAGTACTTGGGCCGTCCTCCACTGCACTCCCGGGCCACAGCAGAGAGCTGGCCTGGAAGAGGGGCAACCGGGACAGAATCCGGCGCCCCAACCGGGACTAGAACCCAGTGTGCCGGCGCCGCAAGGCGGAGAATTAGCCTAGTGAGCTGCGGCGCCGGCCCCAAACAACTTTTTAATGGCTGTACAGAATTTCATTGCCTGGAAATACCATAATTTCATTTATCAGTCCTGTCCTAGCAGGTGTTTAAGTTATTTCTGTTTTTTTAATTAGTTTTTTTTTTTTTTTTTTTTTTGACAGGCAAAGTTAAGACAGAGAGAGACAGAAAGAGAGGTCTTCCTTCCATTGATTCACCTCCCAAATGGCCGCTATGGCTGGCGCGCTGCGCCGATCTGAAGCCAGGAGCCAGTGCTTCCTCCTGGTCTCCCATGCGGGTGCAGGGCCCAAGCACTTGGGTCATCCTGCACTGCCTTCCCAGGCCACAGCAGAGAGCTGGACTGGAAGAGGAGCAACCGGGACAGAATCTGGCGCCCCAACTGGGACTAGAATCCCAGGGTGCTGGCGCCGCAGGTGGAGGATTAGCCTAGTAAGCCGCGGTGCCAGCCTCAATTAGTTTTTCTAACTTTTTTTTTCTTACACATGAATTGGGGAGACAGGAAAAGCCAGTTTGAGAATTTAGAGGTGTTATTATAACATCTGGTAGAGTACAATTTTCAATCCAGTATTGAAAATTGGTTGGAAGACTGAACTCTAGTTCAGAGTTTGCAACCCCTTTCTTTTATGGTGCTCCATAAGATAATCAGGTTGGGGGCCGGCACTGTGGCGTAGAGGGTGGGGCCGTTGCCTGCGGTGCCAGCATCCCATGTAGGTGCCAGTTCATGTCCCGGCTGCTCCACTTCCGATCCAACCCTCTGCTATGGCCTGGGAGGGCAGTAGAGGATGGCCCAAGTGTTTGCGCCCCTGTTCCTACGTGCGGGACCCCAGGGACACTCCTGGCTTCGGATCGGCGCAGCTCTGTCCTTTGAGGCCAGCTGGGGAGTCAGCCAGCAGATGGAGGACCTCCCTCCCTCCCTCCCTCCCTCCCTCTCTCTCTCTCTCTCTCTCTCTCTCTCCTCTCTCTGTGTAGCTCTGACTTTCAAATAATAAATAAATCCTAAAAAAAGAAAAAAAGAAAATCAGGTGGGATGAAATGATGGTCCCTTCGCAGACCTTCCTTCTATCACTGTGCAGGGGTTGAGCTCATGGAGTCACACACAAGTATGTTGGCTGAAGTAGTCTAACAGAGCTCCCCGCCAGAGCACCAGACTTCGAAGTACTGCCCCCGTAGTGGTCAGGCAGCCGGTCTGAGGTGGTCATCTCTAGCTGCGCACAGCCTTTCCGAGACACCTGTCTTTCTAGTTGATCCAGTGGCTCTGCTGTTCTTCCCATGCAAACCTGTGAAAGGGTCTGGAAACACTGCCCTGGTAGAATGTGTCTAGGAGAACTGCTCTGGGCAGATAGGTAGAGCTCAGATCCTTGCTACGCTGTTGACTGTTCTTCATGCTTTGGCTTTTTAGCATGGCTGCTCGATGTTTCTGGGATGCCGACACAGACAACTACACTCACGATGTCTTCATGAATGTAAGTATTTGCTAACTGCTTTTTTTCCTTTCTAAGGACACGTGAACATTCTGAATCAAATTACTTAATATTTATTATGATGTGAAAACATTTCCTTGTCTTAGACTTCTGGATAAGATGATTTTAACGTTATTTTTTTGTGTTACTATAGCAGAAACCTAGTGTGCTGCTTATAGGCCAGGAGACCTATAAACACAGATAATATAACTCTTCAAAGGTTTAAACTGGGGAATAGCATATATTTGGCACATTATTAAAGTATTTTAGCCAGCTTCTACATCAATCACTATACTTTAAAAGCTAATCCTGAAAATCCTTACAAAAGTCATAATTGATAACTAAAGTTTTTAAATACATATTCACTTGAATAAATCGTACTTTATTAAATTGCAAAGGAACTTGGTCAGCAGGATTCTATAAGCAAAGGCGGTTTTTCTTTCAGTAAAAAAATTACCTAATCTCAAAGCCATTGCTCAAAATAAGCAAACATAAAGGAGTCTTTCAGAGGAGGTTTCATTCAAACACTGGCAAGTTGTCGGCACGAGCGGCACGAACGTGTTGTCTATTTGAATTCCATGCCGTTACTGTGTATCTGCATCCTCTGTTCAGATACTGACAGGCTGTGATTCAGTGGAGTCAGAGTGCAGTAGCATAGAAACTAGGTCGAGTAAGTCAGGTGAGGAGCCCCCTGCCAGCCCTGTCAGCTTTCTAACTGTGCGGCGTTAGGTGAGACATCGGGTATCAGTAACGTGAGGAAGATGTAGTGGATTTTCCCAAAGACTGCCTGTGGCTGCCTGAGAATGATTTGGGGGAACTTGTTTAAAAAACAGATGCCACAGCCCTGCTCAAGTAGATTCTGGTCTAAGAAGCCAGGGGCTAGATCAGTGAAACTGGACTTTTAAAAAGCTTCCCTCATGATTCTGCTGGGTTGGTTGGTTGGTTGATTTTTACAACCAAAAGTATCAGTCCATGAGAGACTGGAAATTAAAACAAAACAGTTTTCACTACAGACACGGCACTGTTGTAAAACAGCTCAGTCATCCACTAAGGAGCCAGGGAGCTGGGCTAACCAAAGCAAGTTGCTTCTGTTAATAATCAGATACTTGAGTTCATAGTGTTTTTCTCCCATCACTGGTGGGCTTGAAGTCAAGTTGATGAGTCAGGAGTTAAGGCAAGAAAATATAATAAATATATATAATAAGCACCTATTACATATTCACTTGAATAAATCGTACTTTGTTAAATTGCAAAGGAACTTGGCTACTATAATAGGTACTATAATAAGTACCTAAAAATTGTTTTAACAAGTTTAACTAGGCTCTGGAAAGCAATTTGAGATGCTGATCTGAAAAATAGACAAATGAATTTTATTGATTAAAAACAAACACTTGAGGCAGGCGCTGTGGCGCAGCAGGTTAACGCCCTGGCCTGAAGCGCCGGCATCCCGTATGGGCTCTGGTTCTAGTCCTGGCTGCTCCTCTTCCGATCCAGCTCTCTGCTGTGGCCTGGGAAAGCAGTGGAGGATGGCCCAAGTCCTTGGGCCCCTGCACCCACGTGGGAGAGACCCGGAGGAAGCTCCTGGCTCCTGGCTTCAGATCAGCTCAGTTCTGGCCATTGCGGCCAATTGGGGAGTGAACCATCAGATGGAAGACCTCTGTCTCTCTGCCTCTCTTCTCTCTGTGTAACTCTGACTTTAGAATAAATAAAATCTTTTTAAAAAATGAAAACAAACACCTACACACCATTTATCCTAGGACAAGGTACTGTTATTGTAAGTGATACTATATTATTGTTTCTGAGGTTAGGTAAGGCATTTATTTCAAGAAACTCAAAGTATTTTTTAATACTTTTTTAATACAGAAGGGGGAGAGATTTATCTTCCATCCACTGCTTCACTCCCCAAATGGCCACAATAGCCAGGGCGTGGCCATGACCAGCATTCATATAGGATGCTGCCATCATAGGCAACAGCTTAACCTGCCACAGCACAATGCTGACTGTGACTCAAAACACTGCATACATTATTTTATTTCTGTGATAAATCAGGAAATATGGAAGTAATCATTTTCATGAATATGCATTACCTAAAGGTCATTTGTTCACATTTTATTTCCACATTCAGAAAATTGAATTCTTTACCCATCTTACTCTTTGCAAGCAGCATTGGAGTAGTTACGCTCAGGCATGCAACTTTATGCTCTGGAAACACTTGTTTCTTAATGGAAAAATTCTTCATAATTGAAAATTGGCAAAGACCTATGTCTCTTAATAGTACTAACATTCTGGATTTTCGTGTTTTTTTGTTTGTTTTCTAGGACAGTTTATTCTGCGTCGTAGCAGCATTTGGCTGTTTCTACTATTGAATCTTTCAGGAGCTGGAAAAGATTTTCCATGAAGAAATTTGAACTTTTTTTTTTAATCATTAAATATTTGGACAAAATAAAGATAAGCTAGCAGTTTGGCAAAAGTTAAGTTAGCAGTTTGGCAACTGAATCTGTTGTGTTCTAGACCTTATATTTATAGTGTTTTGATTCTCTTATAATAGGTTCTAAACACATTTGGAAAGGAGAGAAAAAAATGGAAAACCCATTTCAATTGTTCCAACATAACCCACTGTAAATGTTTTGGTACATTTTCTACCAGTTTTGTTTTTATTTGCAGGGTTCTAAGATTGCAGTTTTGAGCCCTGATTTTTCATTTCTCATAATGTCATGAGCAGTTTTTCTGTCATTTTATTTACATTTTGATTTTCAGAATCATAAATTAATAACCACACTTGTTCCATTAGGTTATAATATTTTTGCCATTTCCTTACTGAAGGACTATTTGTTTCTGATTTCTTATAAAAAATAGAGATGAATTCATTTGTATGTAAATTATATAAAGCTTTCCCCTATATTTTGCATGGCTGCCTTTACCTTTCTGGCCCAGTGTTCTTGCTGAGCTGTTGCCATCTGTGCCTTATACAGCTTCTTAGTCATTTGTCTCCAGGGTTTGTGCAGAGCCAGGGCTTGAGAGGTTGCAAGCCAGTGTGTAGCCTCCCTTAAGACTCTGAGATTCTTACATTGGCGACCATCCAAACTCCCACTTAGCTTTGCAGTGATGCTCCCCGGGAGGGCCCTGGTGTTTCCTCCAGTTGGCTGGCCCTCAGCGCTTTAGTCTGTCCCCAGGTTCAAATGCCTATTTGAAACTCAAAAAGGAAGGGGTCAGATTTAAATCCATTTTCTAGGCTGGCGCCGCGGCTCACTAGGCTAATCCTCCGTCTTGTGGCACCGGCACACCGGGTTCTAGTCCCGGTCGGGGCGCCGGATTCTGTCCCGGTTGCCCCTCTTCCAGGCCAGCTCTCTGCTGTGGCCAGGGAGTGCAGTGGAGGATGGCCCAGGTGCTTGGGCCCTGCACCCCATGGGAGACCAGGAGAAGCACCTGGCTCCTGGCTCCTGCCATCGGATCAGCGCGGTGCGCCGGCCGCGGCGGCCATTGGAGGGTGAACCAACGGCAAAGGAAGACCTTTCTCTCTGTCTCTCTGTCTCTCTCTCTCTCTCTCTCTCACTGTCCACTCTGCCTGTCAAAAAAATTAAAAAAAAAAAAAATCAATTTTCTCCCTGGAGGCTCCTCAGCAGAGGTACCAGTGTACCCACCCTCTTTCTTCAAGCCAAGCATGTAGACAGAAAATGGGTCGGTGAGTACTAAAGCACCTTTCACACCCTTCGTCAGAACGTTGTGCACCCACTTACCCTACAGCAGCTGGCTCAGCGGCCGGGTCTTGGCTGCGCCACTTCAGATCCAGTTTCCTGCCTCTGCTTGCGGGAAGGCAGCAGCAGATGGCCCGAGTACTTGGCACCTTGCCACCTATGTGGGAGCCCGGGATTAAGTTCCTGGCCCCGACGGCCATTTGGGGAGTGAGCCAGCGGATGGAAGACTGTGTGTGTTTCCCTCGCTCTGTTGCTCTTTCAAATGAATGAAAACTAAAAGGTTCATTCTGGCAAAGGCAAAGGCTTCTCCTCGCCGCGCCCCGTGCCTCTGTGTTTTCCGAACAGGGACTCCCTGAATCCACTCCTGCTCAGCTGATTCCTAGGAATCACAGGGGGTTGGGGGTGTCCCAGAGGTCACCTGTGGCAAGAGGGTTTGGGCCAGCCACAGGCTGCTGGACGTAAATTCTTACATCACCAAGGAGATAAAAGCCGGCCCCGCGTGAGCCGCGAGGGAGGGCGTCTGGGGGGTACCCACAGTGGACGCCCGGGAGCGCTGGGCGCGGCGGCTGCGGGCGGCGCGGGCGAGTCCGCCTGCGCGGGGCCCAGCCCGGAGCTGGGCCAAAGCGGGGTCGCCACCTAACGTTTCTTGACGGACTGCGACGAGCTCGTGCGACAGTTCACATCCATAATTCTCCGGTTCCGGGTGAAGACGGACTCAGCCGTTCGGTCTCCCGTCTCACCGGTGTGCCTGCTCCATCTCACCGGCCCCGGGGCCTCTGGGGCAGCGGAACTACTGTGTCAGGGGTCGGGATTTTCAGGAAGAAGTCGTGGTCGGATTGACAAGGGGGCGGGCGGCAGGCGGGACTTCCGGCCTGCTGTTCCGTCAGCTGTCTTCCCCGGGCGTCTCCCCGCAACCTCCTCAACTTCCCTTGTCGGTGACGCGGCGCCCGGCAGAAAAGCGACAGGACAGTGGCCGGGGGAACGTGAGCTGCTGGTGAGGACCCAGTGTGTGCAGATGCTTGAGGCTGTGTTTGGGAAGCTGTGGGGCTGGGGCTGCGAGGAAGCGGTGGCTGAAGGAAGAGTGGGTCGGTTACAGCTAGGGGACCGGCAAGCAGGGGCTACGAGGGACGGTGGCAGCGAGGGGACTGTGACCGAGGTGTAGCTGCTGGCCAGGGGTCTGCGACCGCGAGCATGAAAGCCAAGGACTCTGACCGCGACGAGCACGCGGCGGAGGCTGCGGCGGGACTCTGACCGAGGAGGTTTGAGGCAGTGACTGCGCGGGGACTGTGACCACGGGCCAGTGCCTCCGAGGAGGTTCTGACCGATGAACGGTGACTGTCAGGGGACTCTGACCCAAAGGCACGTGAAGCAGCGGCTGCGAGGGGACTTTCATCGAGGGCAGTGGCTCGGAGGGGCTGACCTGGAGTCAGCTTGGGGATGGCACTGTGGGTTGTGTTCGGCACGGGGTGTGATCGGGTGGCTGTGACCGGCCAGAGAAAGTCTTCAGTAGGAAGAACTGGCCTGAGGCTCAGCAGACAGGCCTGTGGCTGAGGAACTTAGCTCACCACTGAGTTACAGCTGCTTCTTCGGGGAATGGAAAGTTTGAATTAGATTAATGTCTCCCAAACTGTGGGATCCATCCTATTATTGGATTGTGAAATCAGTGGTCCCGGACGTTTCCAAAGTGGAACAGAAGTTTTCAGCGTGTTCGCATAGTAAGAGTGTTTCCTGAATGTGCTTCAGTTATATGTGCATGAGATTGTGATGAAAACAATTTTGTACATCTTGAAGTGTGTGAGGTAAAACGTAGTAAAGAAATTTGAAAAACACTTGACCAAATTATTTCTGCATTTCCTGTCAAGTCCAAAACATAATGTGATTAGGGCATTGCTTGGAAGTATAGAGATGCGGTTGGGAAGACTGGCCCCACACCCGGGGCGCGGGCTCTATCAGATTATCTTAACTGGAGAAGGCTTCCTGATTGCAATCAAGCTGGCCAGTTTTGCTCAAAGGCTGAAACTCAGGAGCTGAGTTGGGAGAACCAGAAGTTACCCTGAAGTCAGGACAGTGATGTTTATGGAGTCAGCGAGGATTTAGGAGAAATTGCTAGGAATAGGCAGGGAGTAAGGGGAAGCTTTGTGGATAGAAACAAGGCTTGGAAGGGAACAGAAGATAGCAACGAAAAACATTCTGCTGAGGATAAAATGGAGATAGCAAGATATGACCTTCAGATCCCATTCAGTCTTGACATTTAGTGATTCTTCAAGTTCAGAGAATTGGTAGTAAGAGGCACTGAGGATGATTTGGTGTAGAAATAGTGGTAAAACAGATGATGAGCATTCTGGGGAAGAATGGGAAACAAAATGGTGATGCTTAGAATGGTGACCATGGTGAGTAGAATGTCGCATAAGAGAAACTTTAATATACTTAACTCTCCAGCTTGCGATTTGTACGCTGGAGGCCAAGACTGACATACTGGGAATGATAACCACACTGCGGTTAATTCAAATGAAGTTTTAGCCGCTGGTTTTATTTCCTATTTATTCCCTTTCATGAGAGCGGTTTATGACTCAGGTGAAATTAACTGAGTGTTACTACCTCCTCCTTTCTTTCAACCCTTTTAAGAAGGTGCTACTGAATGTGCCACTCATTGCTTTTTAATTATTTAAAGCTTTTTTAAAAAAACTTTTAATTAGTTTTTAACAGATTCAGTGTGCTTTGTAGATACGATTCTTTTTTTTTAGCAGATTCCTTTTGTTTGTTTTGTTGTTGTTGTTTGTTTGTTTTTTTTTTTTTTTTTTTGATAGGTAGAGTTATAGACAGTGAGAGAGAGAGAAAGGTCTTCCTTCCGTTGGTTCATCCCCAAAATGGCCGCTACAGCTAGCACTGTGCCGGTCCGAAGCCAGGAGCCAGGCGCTTCCTCCTGGTCTCCCATGCGGGTGCAGGGCCCAAGCACTTGGGCCACCCTCCACTGCACTCCCGGGCCACAACAGAGAGCTGGACTGAAAGAGGAGCAACCGGGACTAGAACCTGGCGCCCATATGGGATACCGGCGCTGCAGGTGGAGGATTAAACAAGTGAGCCATGGCACCGGCCCCTGTAGATACAATTCTAAGAACATAATGACATCCCCTTTTTCCCTTCCTCCCCCACTCAGTGCGTTTTAAAGAGATCTATTAGGGGTCTGTGCTGTAGTGTAGCAGATAAAGTTGCCGCCTGCAGTGCCGGCATCCCATATGGGCGCCAGTTCGAGACTTGGCTGCTCCACTTCTGGTCCAGCTCTCTGCTATGGCCTGAGAAACTGCAGGAGATGGCCCAACTGCTTGGGTCCCTGCACCCATGTAGGAGACCCAGAAGAAGCTCCTGGCTCCTGGCTTTGGATTGCCCCAGCTCCAGCTGTTAGGGCCACTTGGGAAGTGAAGCAGCACATGGAAGATCTCTACCTCTGTAACTCTGCCTTTTAGATAAATAAATAAACCTTAAAAAATCTAATAGGAAAAGCTTTGAGGTCATTTAAATTTATCCATCACTGTCTTAATCTGATTAACAGACATCCTTTCCCTACATACACATATGTTTTGTAGTAGGGGGAAGAGAGTTCCGAAAAGTTCTTTAAAAAAAAAGATATGTTGGCCGGTGCTGTGGCTCACTAGGCTAATCCTCTTCCTGTGGCGCCGGCACCCCAGGTTCTAGTCCTGGTTGGGGCACCAGATTCTGTCCTGGTTGCTCCTCTTCCAGTCCAGCTCTCTGCTGTGGCCTGGGAAGGCAGCGGAGGATGGCCCAAGTGCTTGGGCCCTGCACCCACATGGGAGACCAGGAGGAAGCACCTGGCTCCTGGCTTCGGATAGGTGCAGCACGCCGGCCATGGCAGCCATTTGGGGGGTGAACCAATGGAAAAGGAAGACCTTTCTCTCTGTCTCTCACTGTCTAACTCTGTCAAAAAAAAAAAAAAAAAGATTTGTTTATTTTATTATTTGAAAGGGAGACGCATACACACATACAGAGAGAGAGAGAGAGAGAGAGAGAGAGAGATCTTTTATCCTCTGATTCACTACCTAAATACCCAGATCCAGGAACCCTGTTATCTCACGTGGGAGGCAGGAGCCCAAGTACTTGGGCCATCATCCACTGCCTCGCAGGTAAGTATATTAGCAGGAACCTGGATCAGAAGTGCAGAGTAGCTGGGACCCAAACAGTCATTTTGATGTGATATGCAGGCATTCCAAGTAGCAGCTTAACCAGCTGAAGCACAACATCCTCCCCTAGAGAGGTTTTTGAATGGATTGAGTTGGGAATGGTGAGGAATAGCCTTTGTTTGGCTTAAAAATGTCTAGTTACACCTTTCTTTAGGACGTTAGATTTTTATTGATTTCTATTCCACATAACTGAAAGGAACTACTCAAGAATTCTAGGATAGAATATATGCTTTGGAGTTTACTGTAGAAGAGGAGACACTTAGGCTTGGGGACTGCAGTATTCCCTCTGGGGTCTTTTGTGTTTGCTGAATGAAATAATTCTTTCTGACCTAATCTGCTTTGCAAATTCCCTTGGAAAGCCAATATGATGGCCTGATAAAGAATTAGCTTTATTTTCCCCTCAGCCTATGATTTCTCCTTCCACAAACAGGTGGGGTTTTATTTTTCTTGGGTATCTCCTCTTTAGATATGTGATCCCCTAAGGAGAATGATCTAGTCAGATAGAGCCTTGGATTCAGAAGTGCCAGGTTACTTTATCTGATGTTAGCCTTACTCACTCTATGATTATGGGACTCATTACTGCTTTCTTGTTTTAGATTTTTCAAACTATGGCAGAGGTAACTGTTCTTATGATTAGATGAGTCCTTTAAGGAGCTGTCCTTTAAGGAGCTGTTCCTATGTTAGACCTGATTCTGAATAACAGATCTGAATTATCTCTCCTAGACATACTGTAAGTGTTGCAGAAAATTGATTTATAAAATGCTCACAGAAAAAGCATGCATAATCATCTTCTGTTGTTATTAATGACAAAATATCTATTAATAATAGTAGTATCTTTAGGCCTCATGCTTTTCTTTCCAAGTGTTTGTGTGGCAGTGATCCAAAGCCAGATCTTCTGACTTTGCTGCTCATAGTAATAATTCTCTGAATCAAAAAGAAACAAAACTTTTTTTTAAAAAAAAGCTTTATTTTACTTATTTGAAAGAGTTACAGAGAACAACAGATACATACATATATATATATAACAGATATATGTTATTCTCTGTAATATGATAGAGAGAAAGAGCATGCACGAAATATCTTCTTTTTTAATTTTTTTTTAATTTGACAGATAGAGCTAGACAGTAAGAGAGAGAGAGAGAGAAAGGTCCTCCTTCCGCTGGTTCACCCCCCCAAATGGCCACTACAGCTGGAGCTACGCCAATCCGAAGCCAGGAGCCAGGTGCTTCCTCCTGGTCTCCCATGCGGGTGCAGGGCCCAAGCACTTGGGCCATCCTCCACTGCCTTCCCAGGCCACAGCAGAGAGCTGGACTGGAAGAGGAGCAACCGGGACCAGAACCCGGCACCCACATGGGATGCTGGCACCTCAGGCGGAGGATTAGCCAAGTGAGCCATGGCACCGGCCCCCAACGAAATATCCTCTATATGCTGGTTCACTCCCCCAAATGGCCACAATGGCCAGGACTGGGCCAGTCTGAAGCCAGCAGCTTCATCTGGGTCCCCCATGTGGATTCAGGGGCCCAAGGACTTGAGCCATCTTCTGCTGCTTTCCCAGGAGCATTAGCAGGGAGCTGGATCGGAAATAGAATAGCCAGGACTTGAACCAGTGCCCATATGGAATGCCTTTATAGGATGCCAGCATTACAGGTGGCGATTTAACCTGCTACACCACAACACCCGAAACAAAACTCTTATCAAAGTTTGTGTTACCTTGAAGTGTATTGGAAATAACACATTTTTCTAGAAGTCATCATCTTTATTTTGTCCCCCCGCCCCCATTAGAGAAATCCTAAGGTCA